AGGGGCACAAATTTGATCTCAGGGGGCTGGAACACCTCTCCTAGGAGGAAAGGCTGAGAGAGTTGGAGCTGTTCAGCCTGGAGAAGGGAAGGCTGCAGGCAGACCTTAGAGCAGCCGTCCAGTACCTGAAAGGGGCCTACAAGAAAGCTGCAGAGGGACTGCTTACAAGGCCTGGAGTGATAGGACAAGGGGTGATGGCTTTAAACCAAAAGGGGGAGGATTTCCATTAGGTGTAAGAAAGAATTTCTTGACGATGAGGGTGGTGAGGCACTGGCACAGGTTGCCCAGAGAAGCTGGGGATGCCCCCTCCGTGGCAGCGTTCAAGGCCAGGCTGGACAGGGCTTTGAGCAACCCGCTCTAGCGCAGGGTGGCCCTGCCCGTGGTGCAGCGGCTGGAACTAGAGGATCTTGAAGGTCCCTTCCAACCCAAACCATTCTGTCATTTCCTAAAGCACTGCCTCTGAGGCAAGAGCAATCCAATTACAAGTTGCTCAAGTGATGTCATTCTCCTGTCAGAAGAAAATGCATCTACATTTCAATGCTGGGACCTCTTCAAACCCTCCACTTAGCCGTGTCCCTAAATTGACCTTCTCTTGAACAGGTACATAACCACATGCAAACAGCAGACATTGCAAACACAAGAAGTACACACACAGATATATATATCCACACACGAGTAGCAAGACCTCTCTGAAATATTTGTTCTGTCGATCTACTCTACCTGGAACTTTTTTGTGAATATTTTGTAACTGGTGTCCCAACAAATGCATCGCGTAACTCTGCATCAGGGAGAGGATGTGTTCTGATGGCTGGTTCTGTAGCTCTGGGACTAGAATTAGAAGGAAAATGTAACTCACTTTCATTCCCCTGAAGTCCCGACAGCAGGAGTCAAGTTTCTTTCACCGTACCACCCGTAGGAAAATAGTCAGACATCTACGAGCCTCTTTTCCGCTCTTTAAAATTCTGCCTATTTCTAACTGCAAAAGGGCAGAAACGAGGCAGAAAGTGGGCAGAAAGTGGTGTAAGATCACTATTTGATCACA